ATGGCCAGGGGTGGGGGCCATCATGCCCTAATTCTAAAGGAAATCAAGTAACTGCCCTGTGAAACTTCTGAGGTAAAGCTGCCCCAAATGACTGGCGGCTGACAAAAGCGACAGCAAGCTTTTGGGAGTTCAGTGGGTGGAAGCATCACTTGGTTTTTAAGAAGAGATTCCAGAGGGATCCAGAGAACCACAGACTAATTATATTTTTCTGTACATAGCAGACCTGGCAGAAATTGTTGTAAAGCCATGAAAACAACTGATAGACACACTGAGGAAAGTCAGAGTTGCTTTTGCAAAGGAAAGCCATGTTTGGTAAACATTTTAGAGATCTTCTGAAGACTAACAAGAGATGAGAGTAAGGAGATCTAATACACCACACCTCAAACACTGAAAGGCATCTGACACATTCCCTTGCCAAAAACCATTAAAGATGCTGTTCTGCCAAGAGAAGTTGTTGTCCTATCAGTAAATTGTTTAAAGACAACATCCGAAGGCCACGGATCGCCAGCAGAACACCGCAGGCACCTCTGCTGGGGCTAGCAAAGTACAACCTATTCGTAAGGGTTCTGAGACAGCAATTGCCGAAGCTCACAGTATACTCCAGTAACACTGAGTTACTCAAAGTAATACAGGAATTAAACAAAAAATTGCAGAACCGTTTGACTGAGGAAATAGGTGTTAAAATCAGCACACTAAATTCACTGTAGATAAATGAGAACAATGCCCACTGGGGAAAACAGGAAAAAAATCAGACCTAAATACATATATAAGGAAATGGACTCCAAGTTGACCATTAATTATTCAGGACTGAGTTACTGTTCTTACACAGCTTCTGAAAACATAAGCATAAAGGCTAGGAAAAAGCAAAACAATTAGGCACTATTTTTGGAAGCAATATAAAACAAAACACAAAACACCCTCCTTTTTTTTTTTTAAAGATAAATCTACAGTGAATACCGTGAGCAGTTTTACCTGCTCCTCCCTCCTCGCAAAACTGGAAAAGTAAAGCAACCGACAATGAAGACGACATAAGGTACAAAAGAGCTTTCCAGCAACAAGCAACTAAAAGGAATACGACTCTTCGGTTTGAAACAGAAACAACGGATGCAGGCGGGGTACGACAGAGGTCTACAAATTCAAGCTCGACAGGGAGAGAGCATAAGCAGGTAGTCACAACGCCTCATCAAACCTAAGAACCCGCAGGCCTCAACCAGAGCTATCAAACGGCAGATTCAAACACACTAACCACAAACTGCTGCGGGAGCAAGAGTCTTCCGAGGAGACACCGCCACACGCTTCATCTGTTACCTGCCCTGCACAGTCACTACCTCCACTCTCCAAGACATCGCACCAGGCCAGGCAGGACCCCAGTCTGACAAACAAATACTACTTCTTAGAGCAGATGTACACAGTAAAGGCTGGAACACTGGTTTTAACTAGTTTTCGGTTCTAACTTACCAGTTTGAAGAAAAGGGAAAAAAAGGTCTTTTAAAAATACAATTTTAAGGCTACCAACACTTCAGTCTGGTCCTATAGCAAGAGCAGGAATAAAACCTTAATTATGTATCACAACATTTTTAAAAAATTACTTAGCAGCATGCTGAGATTCTTCTGAGGATGTTATCCAGATTTTAAGCACAAATATAAACTAAAAACGCCATTGCTAATAACTTCTTTAACAGTTCCCTTACCCAACAAAACTAGGAATAATAATAATTAGGGTCAGAACTCACTAAGAGGAAATTAGTCTCTGAAGTTTGGCTTCTGGTCAAGATTGGTCTCACAAAAAACGCCATTGCTAATAACTTCTTTAACAGTTCCCTTACCCAACAAAACTAGGAATAATAATAATTAGGGTCAGAACTCACTAAGAGGAAATTACTTTAGTCTCTGAAGTCTGGCTTCTGGTCAAGATCGGTCTCACAGGCTTTGCCTGTAAAATACTAAGGACAGGTATGGGAAACAGCAAAGTCACTAACATATTACTACTCGACTAGTAAAAAAGGAAGTATCAGCTGGCCTTCCTCACCTTCAAGGCCCTCAGAAAAAAATTCATCTATTGTCTGGCCAATTCCTTCTATCAAAGAGAAACATAATTAGCAATTATATTTTTGGTGCAAAGACACATATGACACACAATTCTTCACAGCAAACACCACCACCTCTCTACAAAGAGATAACGGCAAGATAAGGACTCCTGAAAGGACTACCTTTAGGGGTATTTTATATTCCAAAGTGATGACACAACCAACTGTAAAATCTCCTCAATACCCAACCATTCCTTGTATTATTTCTCAATCCATACCTGCGAGAAGCTTGAAGGTGCGCGGTTTTCTGGCACAAAGACAAAATTTCTCAGCTGCGCAAAGGAAGAAAATCTCAGACTCTAAAAACACAAAGTTATCGTCAGTGAGATCTCTTCTTTCTGCGCTTTGGCTTGTGCCAAGACGGGAAGTAAGTTCAAAAGCTGAACCAACATCTGGATCATGCTGCAATGAACACAGGAGCTAAGAAGTGAAGGTCCTAAACCACATCCATACTTTTCTTCAGAGATGACAAAAACATCAACTACCCCAAATTACTTGATCTCAATAGAAAAGCCCGAGGTCAAATTCTTGGGAATTTTTCAGCAAGAGAGGAACACTCCGGATCATCTGGAGCTGAATAATTACTCAGCTTCAAACGCTGCTTTGAATAAAATAAACGGCTATTTTATTGACTATACAAACATATTCAAGAGCATCAACAGAACAGCTGAACCGAGCGTTCAAGATACAGAGCAAAACACCTTGCCTTCACACTCGGGAAGTGATACGTATTTTCTAAACATTTGCTGACTCGGTGAAGTCTTTTATGCAACTGAACTGTTCACCAGTGGATGTGCCGCTCCAACTCAGAATATCACAGAATGAGCAACTCCAACGACCCAAGTAACAGTCCTTCAATGTACACACACAAGCGCTACCAGACTAAATGAGCGCTGTACATACATTCAAGAATGGAACTGAGCAGGTTTTGTCTTTATAAAAACACATGGCATATAATTACATCTCCCAAAAGGCAACTCAGGTATGCTGAAGATCTAGAAGCTCCTAGCTTTGTAGTGTTAGCTACAAACAAATACCAAAGGAAACTCCTTGCCACTTTGTAGTGACTAACTGATAAGAATAAAAAATCATGCAGTTCGCAACATGAAAAACTTGATGCAATCATACCTGCCAACGAATAAACATGCCTCCGCGTTTTATTAACCGTAGTGTAACATGATAATTCAAATAAAATCTCCACTCAAATTGGAAAACATGACCTTATAAAAATATAGGGCTTTAAAAAAATGTATCAGCATGTTATCTAGAACTATCACCATACCAAAACCAGATCTTTTTCAAATTGTTACGTACACAGACTTTGTGATACCAAATGGACTCTTTCAGGTAGCTAAACATACACGCTGGACTTCACCGCTCCTGAATTTCTCCTCTGACTAAATAATATCAAGTCAATTACACGCATCAATCTTCAACTAGTTTCCATCCCTCTCCCTTTAATTAGTAAATACTTACATATTACCATCATGACATTAAAGTAGGTCCTTATTCAAGTCAGTACTTAAGTCAGAAGCTGCAAGCCTCCATCTACGACTAGAGTACTCCCTGTAATATAAGGCGACTCCAGAAGAAAGACAACGGCTTGTGCAACTTCACGAGGCTCTCCGAATCTTCCAAGGAGAATTGCTTTCTTCAACTGATCTTCTTCCAAATGAGCAGTCATCTCTGTGTGAATAAAGCCTAAGAGAGGAGAGAGATTTGAAGAGTTACCTAACCTTCAATTCAATTTCTCTAGCAGATTTTCCCTAGAATTCTCCCAAGTGAAATCTACTACCAGGATTCAGCACCAGCTACCATTCTTCACTGTCTCAGAAGCCAGTCCACAACATTTTATGACCAAGATCAATTTTTTACCTAACCAATAAAATGTCTTCTGGTTTTGGAAGCACTGATGTAAAAATCAAAATGCAGAGATCTATGCAAGTCCATTAAAAAAAAAAAAAAAAGCGCTACCTAAAATTGGGTCTCAAAACTATATTTAGAATCACCTTTCTGAAAGACAAAATACACTCATTTCACCAAAACATTCTCGATAAAAACACGAGTATGAAACCTCTGGCAAGAAACCCCTACAGTCTGCTAGTGTTTCCATTATATTTCAGAACTTACGACAGCATTTGTGTAATTTCTATCATAGCATTCATTTGAAGAATATTTCTTGACATTTTTGAAGGACATTTCTTTACAATTTTCAGTTATCTGAGATTCAGTTTTCCCACTGCTGCACTTCACGTAAGCTGCTGCTTCATAAAGAGCTGATCTGATCCGCTTTCTAGCTGCCACCATGAAGAGAAAGTCTCTGCTTTCTACTTGTCTTCCTTTTGACTGTACAACTCTGCCCCTTTCTGATGGCTCTGGGCCCTTCAGTAAGCTGCTCAACTCGCTAAACAATAAAAAGTGTTTCTCCTGCCTAGTTCACAAGCTGAACTGGTTCGTGCAGAGGTCTGAAAGGCGTCAGAGCTAGCGCAAGGTGAGCAGCAGAGTACATGGCTATGAGTGGAAAAAGTCAGAAAAGACAGAAGGGATTTTTCCGTAAGGGTGGTGGTTTGCTCGGACTAGATCATCTTGTGAAATCACAGCCTCGTCCTCCCAGAACTTTCTTTCCAGACTCCCTGCTTTTACTACAAGGATAGACAGGGATGCTTTCATGCCAGCTTCTCGTGGTCTTCCATGTTTCTCTAATAACAAATAAGCATTCTCTAGCGGGAGACGAGGGTAGCTGTCTGCCTACAATTAGTTCTAATCCTTCCACCTGCAAGGGCAGCAGGTTTTGAAGGAGGAACAAAGGAAAAAAAGACATGCATTATGTAACGACGGATAGAGGGACAGGTAGATACACTCTTACAAACTTCTCAGTGTTCTCTTAAAAAGACCAAAGGTTTTGTAAAAGACTGTATTATACTTTAAACTGAAAAAAAAGAGATTAAAAACATTTACTTACAAAAGCAGAAGAAAATAATAGCAATTTGTCTTAAGTTACTTTCAGAGTACAGCAAATATCCAGCAGTTTTGATGCTCATGTACCGCAACAGCCAAGGACCTAGGAATCTCCCAAGAACTAACCTGGAGCAACCACGTTGACTCGAATTTGCTTTTTTGCTACTTCTTTAGCAAGAGATCGTGAAAATCCAACTAATCCTGCTTTGGTAGCGCTATATACACTTTGACCAGAGTTGCCTTTAAGTCCTACAATACTTCCTAAAATAAAGAAATGTCAAAGAGAAGAAAAGATTAGGTAACTAATTTGAAGCCTTGTACTAGCTTTATCATTTTAGTTTTAAATTTGGAATGGAAAATGAGATTACAAGAAAAGGAATTAAAAGTATATTACTAAATGTACTTTATAGCCTACTGCTGGAATAAGCAAATCCCTCAATTATCTGTGATTTTTGTGGAAACCATATATCTATGTTGACCAACAGGCACCAGGAGAGTAAAATGAAGAGCTTTCCAAAAAAATAGCTTTGCACAGGAAAAAAAAAAAAAGAAACCAAGTGTACCTATTTGATTCTTAGCTAATAACTAGCAGCTGGTAGATTTAGCTACTGAAAGAGCTGATAAAGAACGGTAAAATCCTTTTTTCAATAAACTCTGAGGTGGTTATTATCATAGCAAGCCATTTTTACATTTAGAGGTTGCCGAAATTACACAAAAGAACAAGCGTTCAATATAGAAATGCTAAATACAGAACGTCTAAATATAAAGAAAATAAGTCAATTGTAACAAGTAACATTTAAACATGGTACATGCGCTAAACCTTTCCCGAAAACCAGTACATAGAAGGTCACTGCATTAGACAAGCAACTTACCTATATTGACGATAGCACCTCCCTGTTGTTGAATCATGCTTTTTACAGCAGCTTTGCATGTCAACATGGTTCCCAAAAGGTTTGTGTGAATCTGGGCTAGCATATCTTCAGTCTTGGTTCTCAGTAACAAACCATCCCTGACAAACAGACCAAAAACCACAAAAGAACTCACTGGACAACCCCAACGATCACAGTTACTCCTAATAAAACCTGACTGATGAATGGAATATTAATGGGGATTTATTCTACCATTCCAAATGACGACACTGCAAGGACAACATACGGCAAGAAAAAAGTTAGCCATGCTTCTGGCAACAAAGCCTCCTTTGCAGAGAGGGATCAAACATTGTTTAGGACCATTTCAGGGGGAAGAAGTGGAAGAAAGAGGAGTAGAGGGGGAGAATACAGAAACTACAGTGAAAGCTGTATCATCTGTTACAATTTTACCATCATTAGGAACAAAATATTGGTGAGCGCTTAATACTGGTTTCAGGCGTATTCATTAACAATACTCTTACTAAATGCAAAGGCCCTTAGCACCTTACAATAAGATGCTGCCATCTAGAATTACATATAATCTTGTAACGAATAACTAACCTGTTGATCCCAGCTGCATTAACCAAGTAGTTAATAGGACCTAAATTCCTCTGCATCTCCTCAAAAGTATTTTGGACCTCTTGTTCGCTGGACACATCACAGCTAAGTGCCAGATGTCCTGCTATATTGAAATAAAGGCACATCATAATAATACGAAAAGATGGTATACCATCCATAAACCTTCTTCAGAATTTATCAACTCAATTGCAAAAACTGATGTTGAACTAGTTATAACTTGAGGAACCCATTTAACCTCCGGAGAACTAAGCGAGGACAATTTTCAAATATTGTACTGATTAGTTATGTGACAACTTCTTGGTTTATATTTTGGCCTTTTGAAATCAGTAGTAGGAGCAGACTGGTCTCAGTTCTGGCTCGGTCAGGAGCCAGGGATGACCCAATTCATACCACCTCCGCGTTGTGACCTTGAACAATTCCCTTCATCTTACAATTCGTATCTCACGGACAGAACACGTAACAACTTTCCCAAAGAATACTGTGAAAACAGAATTGTACTGATACAGCTTTTCTTTCAAATTTCTCAGCCTTTGTTTTCACTTTCATCTACTTAAACAATGAGGTTTATTTAATAACTTACTATTTTTACAAGTTACCTAAGCATCGGAAAGTGAAGAAGTAATTGCAAAGCAGCATACGTACCACCAAGATTACGTGCCGTGGTTTGGGCTACTTCCAGATTTCTAGCAATAATCGCCAGGCGGCAGCCTTTCTGTGCCAGTAATTCTGCAACAGCTTTTCCTATTCCTCGGGATCCTCCAAAAATGGCGCAGACCTTGCCCATCTTCAAAAATAATTCACAAATTGCAAATAAACCATGAAATTCAGGTCCAGTATAGCAAGAGAATAACCACTGTTCTTGTCAACATCACGGCCCTTACTAGTTTGTAGCATTTTGTAATACTGGATTATAGAATTAGTGACCTGTTAATTTTTTTATTCACCATAAAATAAATACTTGAGCTAAATTAAACACCACTTCTACAAATGCACGTTAATTCTTCATTATTTCTGAACAAGTAAAAAAATTATGCACGTAATCTAGCATTTCAATACTAGTGTTATGATAACTCATAATCAGTTGATGAAATAGGTGACTTCTACAACTAAAGGCCATAACGTATCGTTCAGCTGTTTAGTCAAAGCCACTGTAGCAGTTGTAATTATACGGCTCTTGCAAGCGCTATTCTTGTACTAAAGTCATTCAGCCTCAAGGTCTCACTCCATCCTAAGGATCTGTGTTGGACATCCACATCGCAAACACCACTGAGCACTACTTGATCCTATTGTACTTACATTAGTTTAATACCAAGTTATACTACACAACGTTATGTTTTACCCCTAGCCTTAGGGTTTTCTTGTTTCTGCTTTTGAAGAAAAAGAAAGCTTTTTGAAATGTGAGATTATTCTGAAGTAGCTAGCTTAGATGTTGAGGAAGAAGCACAAGAAGAAAGTACTTCTGTCGAATGATCTTTTATTCTGCAACCTCTAGAAGTCAATCAGCTGTGTTGGGATTCCCTGAGGAAGCCAGAGGCAGAATCCAAGGAATAGTAATGAACCACTTTTTCATACATTTGAATAAATCCTTTTTGAACTCAATTATACTTTCTCTCTGTAACAGCCTGAGGCAAGGAGCTTCATTATTTGTGGAAAAGCACCTCCTTTTGTTCTTAATTTGCTTTCTGATTAGATAATACGACGCATTTCTCCTCATCTCTTCTCCTTACTGTTCATAACTTCAGAGGATACTCTTCTGTGTTTTACCCTTCCCCTATATCCCTTCGGGTCTATTTAGTTACTCTTATATGTATGGAAGCCATCCTGTATCTCACTAAAGACCGTCCAAGCTCCTAATCCTGCCACCCTACCCTTTGCCTTACTTAGGTCTATTATACCCTTTCAGATGGGCGATAACCAGAAGAGCACACAGCGTTCAGCATACAAAGACACCATCAGCTCATACAACGGCATGATTTTGGTCTTCTGTGACAGGGCCTGAAAGAGCAGACATGCCTCTTCTGTAACCAAGGAACCACAAGCGCTTGAAAACAACCCATGTGTCTGCCTCCGCTGGCAAGTTAAAATCAGCTTCCTAGGAGCAGGAAGAGGATTAAATACCTGCACCTCAGGTGGCAGCCCTTTCGACAGAACACGTGCAAAAAGATGTCCCACCTGAAGACAATTCCAAAGTGATAACAACAGGCACCAGTGCCTCACCAGAAAGACTAATCTTTCGGGTACTCTTCATTAGGTAGCTAGACTGCAAGAGATGCATCAAGAGGTCCTGCACTCCAGCAACTACAGCTCTTACTGTCCTAGCAGACTAAAGGCACAACCCACCAACCCATTATTTTGTTGACAGATTTTTCTTGTTAGAAACAGAGTCTTAGTCTGCCTTCTCCATCATGACTGATCTCTTCTTTTAGGGAATTACCACAATGACTCTTGGGAGCTCTTGCCTACTTGTTGCAGCAATGTTGTACTAAGACTTCCTCCTTTGTATTTTGTTCTTACCAGCACTGAGCGTACCCACTCTCTTATTTTTATTTGAAACATGGAATAATAGAGACTAGGAGGGAACTCTGGAAATCATTTTGTCTAACTCCTCTACCCCTAGGCAATATCAAGTGAACCATTTTACGCTGTTTATAAATGCTGTCGGACCTATCTGTATTTTCCAAATAATGCTGAACATGCTTAGCTATCCAGGACCCAAAAAGCTGCCCGTGGGGAGACAGCTTCTTTCAAATGTATCATTCTACCCTTCCCGGTCTCTTTGAGAAGTGAAAACCCCCGGCGATTCCACCGTTTTCAGAAAGTCCCTTGTGCGCTAACCAGGTATTTGCGGGGCCCGCGGCCTACTTCCAACCCGGCAACGTACGCTTGGTGTTTTAGCACAAAAAAGCCATACGGATTCTTTAGAATTGTGACTTGGGAGAAAAAAAATAAAAACCAACTGCTATAGGAGTAATAACCCTATATTCCCTGGTCAAATAAAGGTAGGGAACACCAAGTATCTTGTGAGCGACGGGCTCCTCCCGCTCGGCCCACAGCACGCAGGAGCGCCCCTCCCGCCTTCGTCCCCCACGGCCCTGCTCTCCCACA